GCCCGCCGCCGCCGCCGCCGGTAAGGAGCCGGGAGCTTCCCTCCCGCGCGAGCTGCGCGCCTCCGCCTGCGCTCGTCTTCGCTGGATTGCGCTGCTTGCTTTCTGGGAGGGGCGCTGCTTCCTTCCATGGGCACTACGACCAAGCTCATTTCCCTTAACTTCTGCCTGCGTCACCCCGACACCTGGCTTTGCGTGTCCTGTCCTTGGGCACGTTAGACAAGCGGGCTAGTCGGGGTGAACTTTGAAGAGTAAAAGGCCAAAATCGGTCTAAACCACGTCAGGTTGTCGAGAGTGTTAGACGTCTGCGCGCATGTGTGTTTTGGCCCTTCTGTGATTGGATTTCACCGTCACCCGCAGCAGGTGTGCTGGCTAGTGAATGAACGTCAGCAGAAAGTTCTTTTCGTCTGATTCAAAAACCGAGAGGCTTGAAGCTTGGACGATGCCTTCCTGCCTCTTCTCTCGCTGCCTGTTACGAGAGGCAGCAGACTGGTGGCCAGGAGTGGAGCTCTTCCTCTCACATTTGGTTTTTGGGGCCTGCGTGGCATTTTGTTTAAAAAAAAGTGTAAATACTAACCAACATTATAAAAGCTGCCGCGCTGACCTAGAGACGGAAGTTTCTGGAATCTCGTGAGGCCTGTGAATGTGTGGCAGCACCAGCCCCTTGCTCCTCGAGTATCCTGTCCGCGAGAACTCAGTCCAGGAGAGAGTCCCACGGGGCGGGAACTCCCGGGGGTGGGGACCACTGGGACCCTCCCCGTCCCCGTGCCGGGTCCCCTTCCACTTGCTGATTCTGCTTGAACGCCAAGGGCCTCTGCTGATTGGAAATGATCTCTGATGGCTTAAATCAAACCACACGTGTGCTGCACTGCCTGGGATGTTTCTGCGAAATTCACACATTTGCATAATTTTTTTTGTAAAATAATCTGTTCCTCTAGAAAAGGAGGAAGAGGATCAGAAAGAAGAATTTGAGGAGGAGAGGAGCCATGAGGAAAAAAGGAGTGTTAAAGTCCATGCCATGGTCACTGTGTTCCAGTTCATCATGAAACAAAGTTACATCTGTGCCCTCATTGCCATGATGGTACGAGCCGCGCGGTGCCTGCTGGGGGGTGGGGGGTGCTCATGCCCCGCGGCCCCAGCCCCACCGTCTTCTCCCCACGGGCACAGACTTCTTAGTCTTTCCAGCGTCTTGGCAGAGAATGGTCGCTTATGTTAAATTTTCATGGGATCGTTACATCATAGGTTTCAAAGTCCCATCCTCCCCTCCTAAGCCTCTGTTTAAATATTAATACCTTCCCCTCAAGTAGGCCTATCAAGTCAGGTTGTCCCCTATGTTGTCATTGTAAGCGGACATCCTGGTAGTTTTTCCAGGTGGCACTGAAGGTGCTCAAGATTAATACAGGTCACTTCTGTTTCTTTCAGGTAATGAGGGTTCTAATCACATCTTAGAGGCAAGTGAGACTTTATGCTATTTTAGCTGCGATAAACATTTCCCAGTCTAAGCGTCAGGCACCAGGGTCCCCAAGAGCACCTGTGACCCTGAGTTCTCAGCTTACACGAGCTTCTGCTCACCTCCAGGGACAGCCTCCATCTCCAGCAGCACAGCTTCAGAACCTGTCCTTGGGCCCATAGACAGGATATAAAAGGGGGCCAGTCTCTATCCTTCCTCAAAACAAATTGTCCAGGGAAACTGAATTCATTTTTGAGAAACCTGACGTTTATTTAACGTAAACATCTTCAAATTCTGTAGCCAATGGTGAGATCCCGTGGACACTTTTAATGGTAAAACATGAAAATATCCTATAATTCTAGGGGGAACACCCAAGTGCAGCTTACCCAGGCACTCAGTCCAGATGTCTCCCTGGTAAACCCGCGTGGACCTCAGATTAGCTTCTGCAGAGACCACGGCCACAGCCGGGAGGGGTGGGAACCACAAAGCTCCTCGAAATTAAAGATGGCCCTTTGGAGACCGCAAACTCTGCTCTCTGAAGAGTATCAATTCTGTGCTCTCTGGGTAACTTCTTGACATTTTCTATACGTCAATCCCTAATTTAAACCACACCGAAACTCTGCAAAACATCAAATCATTCTGATTCTAAACACAAGAGAATATACGTTTCTTCTTCTGTCTCTCAAAATAAGCCAGATAAGTTTGCTCCTTTTTTGTAAAGAAGCAGAGCTTTAAAAAAGAAAACTTGGAAAACACATTCAGTTACTTAGAAAAAGGTCTATTGTAAAAACAACACAGGAAGCATATCTTTCATTGAAGACCTGCCCTTGCCTGCTGCTATTTCTGTCTCTTTTTTTAACGGAGCCACGATATTAGTGTTTGAAAAGTACCTGTGTTCCGTGGAAGCTCCCTCGTGGCAGCAAACTTTTAATCACAGACAGGCAGAGCAGTCCTGAGGAGCCGGGTCTGTTAGAACGATAGATGCCTTTATTCAACATCACAAGGGACGAATGTACTAAACCATCAGATGATCCCAAAACTGAACGTAGAAAAGGACATAATGCAAATTCTACCCCCAGCAACTGAAGGCGACTTAAGCATGAAAATGGAGGAGGGTTGAACGAAGTCCTCATAATTTGTCTTTCTCCCTCTTTTGCCCTCATTGTCCCAAACAAGACTAGCGTACGGTGGGGGGGGTGGAATCTGCTGCAGGAATCAGAATCTCTGTGGAAATCCCTTTCCTCAGTCACACACACAAAAATGGCAAAGTCATGTCGGAACTTCGTACTGGGATAAATCCATTCAATGTTACTGACCTTTGATAACACTATTTCCCAGGAATCATATTTTCATGACAATAATTGAGACTTGATACTAGTGGTCAGTCACTCACTTAATTTTAATAAAAGCAATTCTGATTTCCAGTTTATAATGACCGTATGTTTTCACCAACAGTTTTAAATAACTCTGCGCTTAAAAAGCTAGCTGTGCTCTAGGGCAGATTTGCAGGGTGCCTCGAGGAAGTGTGAGTTTGTTCTGTGCTGTTTTTATTCACTTATCTGATGTATTCCATCGCTTGTCTACCCGCCAGAAACAACAGAGTTGTAAGACGTATCGGACTTCACAGCTCACTCTTGGTACTTATGACAGTCAGGATTATGACTGGTTTCAAGTAACCCCAAATACAACTAGAAAACATTTTAAAGGTCTCGTCACAAAACATTCGGTGTCCGAGGTCTTGGTAGGAGAGGACGGACTTCCCGAGGATAGCGATGCGCAGGCGCCCGACGTGGCAGCCGGCTCCGGGAGCCGCCCTCTGGGGCGCGCTGTGGGTCCACGGAAGCTTAGTGTGAGGGCGAGGCGTGTCCTTTGGCTTTCTAGTCCTGCCCCTTAGAGGACAGAGGCCGGGCTGGCCTCGCCCTTAACGTGGCTTTATTGTTTGGGGTGTGCAGACACCTAACACTCAGCTTCCTCCTGGGAATTTTCGGATTTTCATCATGTCTGTCTTCTTGGATGGTCTGTAAAGGGTGATCCCCGCAGCCAGCTTGTCTGTGGCCCTGGTGATCCCCATGGTTCCGTTTCTCAGCCCAGCTTCAGCCGACTTACCCAGCACCCACCCCCCTCAAAAGAACAGCCACCCCAGGGAGGGTAGAACTCCGTGGTAGAGTGTGTGCCTAGCATGCGCAAGGTTGCGGGTTCAGTCCCCAGCACCTCCGTTGAAAATAAGTAAACAAATAAACCTAATTACCTCCCCCCTAAAAATTTTTAAAAATTAAAAAAAAGAAAAGCTGACCGCACGCCAGTTTGGAAGAATAAGGGAGAAAGCCTGGTCACCTTTAGTCGTGCGCAGCAGGGTCAGTAGGAAGCCGCGTGGGGCTGGGGAGCAAGGCTGTGGAATGAAGACCCCCTTGCCTGACCATCTTCCCTGCAGGAAGGCGAAGAGCACGGTCCTCTCCCGGAAGCGGTGTCCCCTCCTCTCCCGGCCCCAGCCACAGCTGGGGTGTCTCCCCGTGACTCTCCCTCCCTGGTGTGACTCTCGCTGACCTGTTCCTTTGAGGTGACTTCTGGGTCCCACGGGCAGGGTCTGTGCATGACCACTGCCGCCTTCCCGGCTTCCCCCCCAGGCCTGGAGCATCACCTACCACAGCTGGCTGACCTTCGTGCTACTCATCTGGTCCTGCACCCTGTGGATGATTCGCAACAGGAGGAAGTATGCCATGATCAGCTCCCCGTTCATGGTCGTCTACGGAAACCTGCTGCTGGTCCTGCAGTACATATGGAGCTTTGAACTTCCTGAAATTAAAAAGGTCCCAGGATTTTTAGAAAAGAAAGAGCCAGGAGAACTTGCCTCGAAGGTAAGTGAATAGGAAGACAAGAAAACAAAGCATTCAGAGAAAACCACAAAATAATCAAATCAAAATAATCACATCTGAGCAAAAATGTACAATAATAGGTTCCAAACATCCGCCGCTCTGCAAAGATGAATAGATATGAACTGTAAGTAGTGCTCTATGTGGCTGAGAGAGGTCTGTGATTTACATGCAGAGAGCGTCACACCGTGCTTCTAGGCTTTATTTTAAAATGACGGTGCTTTCCACTCAAAGGACAAAATATAGTTTACGTTATTTTCAGCATAAATTATGGTATAGTAGAAATTAAAAGGGAAATAGAAAAATACAATGTGAGGGGATAGAAGACTTCGGGGGATGGATATCAGTTTGAACAAGAGGCTGAACACATCGCTGTTACAGTTAAGCGTTATTAGGGAAAACATTTTTTTCCTACAATCGTGTCTGAAAAAAACATTGTTAGCAGCAAAAATTGAGTATGACGCTTGCTTTCTCTTTCGCCTGCTGGGTACACAGGGCGCCTTCATCTGCAGCCAGAAAGCTGGTCCTCTTTCACTAGTTTATTGTCAGGGTCCGTGTTAACAGTTTCCTTTAGAAGGCTGGGTGCCCCAACTCCGCTGTCTGTTTTGTGAGCAGTGGCAGACCCTAAACACACCTTTCCTGGTGTGGATGCCTTTGGGTTAAGCCAGTAGAAGCAGTCGGCGTGAATACCGGCAGTACCAAAGGAGCCTTGAAAACCTTCGTCCTCCAGGCAGAGGGAAAATTAGTGTCTCTGAAAGAGGCATCATTTGCATCACGTGCGGTCCACCTTTCCTGGGAGCAACCACCTTTTCTACAGGTTGGCAGACACCCCGTATCCCAGGCAGTCGGGTGTGACGGGGGCGCTGAACAGACCTGGCCAAGGGCTGATCCCTATAATGGTGTTCTGGTGGAGGCTCTTGGGGCACAGGGAGAGCTTCTGACAGGTGAATGCTAATGCCTGAGGTTAGATCCTCATCCTCTGTGTTCATGGACCCTGGCCGCTTCATTCATTTATTCATATGAAAATCCCATGCCTCCCCCACTCCCACTTTCTCTCCCAAACTATACTCGGTGCTGAAAGTTCTGCATCAGACTCTTGCTCACGAGTCACCTGCTCTGACACGCCTTCCTTCCACCTCTCCGTCTTAAACACACACACACACACACACACACAAAACTGCTAAGTTCATCTGTTTCTACACGAGAAATTGAAAACCTCATACTTTTGACTGTGTAAATCCATGACTCAGAACATCAGTGAGACATTTAAACACGCATGCTAACTAGCTAGTTGAAGGACCTTCTGTCTAATCTAAAATTAACAATTCTTTGGGGAGGAAACATTTTAGATTTTGAAGAGGGGAGTAATTAGGTTTACTTATTTATTTTTAGAGGAGGCACTGGAGATTGAACCTAGAGGAAACATTTTAGGAGAAATACATTTGCTACATGTAAAAAAAATTGTAGGGAAATTGGAGTCTGCACTTACATGTTCAGGTGCTCAGGAACTAAAAAAAGGTACAAGGCTTTGCATTGTGATAGCAGCAAACTCGAAGCTGATACAATCTCTAGCACGGTGACGTCTGTCAGGGCACATTATTAAACACCCGCTGTTTGCAGAGTGCTGGGTGGGCCACTGGAATAGAAAGTGAGAGAAAGAAAGAGTGTGGCCCAGGTCCTCGGGGTCTGAACACGTCCAGCAGGGCCAGACTCAGCAGCCCGGCAGCACCCTTCCGCCTCCCGGGGCACCTCCTTTCTGGTTCCATCAGGTCGTAGTCAGCTGCTGCCTTCAAAGCCTGGCTTTTAACCCACTGTCCCTGGGAAAGATGTCCTGTCCACCCCAAGTTACTCCTAAGCTCTATAAACATGCTAGAAGCAGCATTTTCCACCCAAATTGCAGCTACAGTTCAATTTGTCGTGGCTTCCAGAAGTTTAATCCCAGGTTTCCGGAAGTCTGAGCCCTTTGGTTCTTGACTGAGCGTGTTTCCAGGACTTACTGGCACTGGTTCACATTGAAGGGAAACAGCTAATGGACATTTATGGGTAGTATAGTGGGCAGTTACTCAAAATGAAAATGACCCGTCTGTGAGTCTGTTTATTTTTCCATTTCTTTGGCAAATATTTTTTGAAATCATACTGTGGACCACAGTGAGATACCGCTTCACACTCGCTAGGATGGCCTGAATCAAAAAGACAGACAGTCAGAAATGTCAGTGAGGAAATCAAGAAACTGGAGGGGCGCACGTGCTGGTGGGGAAATAAAAGTGGTGGAAAACAGCTCGTCAGTTGCTCAGAACGTTAACCTAAAGTTACCGTAAGACTCAGCAGTTCCACTGCTAGGTGTGCGTACCAACGAGCACAGAAAACAAGTCCAGACAAAAAAATTGTGCTTGTAACAGCCAAAAAAGTCCCGAACGCGCATCAGCTGGTGAGTAGATAAGTATTCTCTGCATGCAATGGAATCTTACTTGGCAATAAGAAGGAATGGAGCAGCAGTCATGCTATGACACGGGTAAACCTTGGGAACATTATACCAAGTGACATAAACCCCGAATGAAAGAATGCATATTACATAATTCTATTTCTACTAAGTGTCCAGACTAGGCAATCTGTAGAAACAAGAAGTGCGTTAGTGGTTGTGTGGGGCTGGGGCTGGGGTGGTGAGGAAAGAGGGTGACTGCTATGGGCCTTCTTTTTGGGAGGATGAAAATATCCTAAAATTGATTGCAGTGATGGTTGCACAACTATGTGGTGAATATGCAAAAAACCACTGACGTGTACCCTGCAAATGGGTGAGTAGTATGGTATGTGAATTCTACCTTAATAAATCTAGGGGAAAAAAAAAGCTGCTGTGTGCCAGATCCTATATTCCCTGAAGAACAAAGCTCCCTGAAGTCATTAAGTTTTTTTCCCCGGGGCCGCGCAGGTGCTGAAGGAACCCCTGGCACCGGAGGGCATGTGGCGTCCTCGGGAAGGAGATTTAAAAGCTGGGGACTTTGAGCTGTAGTCACGGGGGTGGCTGACTCGAACTCAGAGAGAAAGGTTGGCTGTGCTCCCACTGAAAGGTGGAGAAGGCGTCGTGACTGAGGAAGTACCCTCACACTGCGGATGGGTGAATGCATGTCTTGCTAATTCTCCGCTTTCAGATACTTTTCACCATCACCTTCTGGCTCCTGCTCAGGCAGCATCTCACAGAGCAGAAAGCTCTCCGAGAAAAGGAAGCTCTTTTGTCTGAAGTCAAAATCGGAAGCCAGGAAAGTGAAGAAAAAGGTAACTGGCATGTGCGGTGTGTGACTGAGGTAAGGGCCCCTGGGACATGGCGGCACCTCTGTGCTCTGCCCCAGGGAAGCCAGGCACTACGTGAGCAGATAGACGAGGTTCCTGGTGCTGAGTTCCCGCACACAGGGCGTCTGCAGGAGCTTCCCACTTAGGGAAGCTCAGAGATGTTCACTGGGTTCTCCAGGGTCAGGCTGCAGTGAGGGTTAGGACCAAGAAACGGACCCACATCTCCTCCTCTTCCAAAACAACTCAACCGCAAAGTCGGAAAAGAAGGTGATGTCTTGGTGATCACCTCTGGAGTTTGAGACCTGCTGCGTGGGTAGTGCTCATCCCTGCCCCGATACACCGATGAATACAGTGTTACGTTTGTGAAACGGCTTGGAGGCCATTAGTGGGGTAGGCAGACTTCTCTCAGAAGAGGAGGCTGTAAATGCAGAAGCCGGGCTGGTGCCTTTACGAGGAACCCAGTAAGGATGAGAAAGCCAGCACAGACCAGCTCATCTTTTCCTCATAGTTTCTCTTTGAGGCCCACATGTGGAGTTGTTTTTTAGCCACTAAAATCTGCAAGGTTTACATCTTGACTGTTTGAGTTTGGACGTCTCTAGGACCAGAGGGATTCAGTTCACCAGGTACTTTATGTGAAGAATAGGCCATGTAAGACCAAGAGCTGCTCTGACCCCTCACCTCCCTTGCGTTCCCCTCACTCTGGGAACTCCTGGTCACGTCAATAAATTATTCAAATTGGAGGTCACCTTGGGAACACGAAGACGAGTCCTCCGTGTTAGCATATTTTGAAGGAAGACCAAATACGCTTTTAATTGCAATGCACAAAACTGTTTGAGCCTCAGTTAAATTACAGTGACTCTTCAAACCTAATTTAAATCAAGCCGTATTTGGCTTTAACTCTTACCCGTTTAGTTCTTTCAAAGCAGGCTTTTCGGTCAAGATCGTCACCATCAACCCAGATTCAGCAAAACATGGCCAGGAGCGTCCAGAGCCGTGTGACTGTCAGAATTTGAAGCTGATGTCGTAGTTTTCATTTGTGTTGTTTGTTGCTGTGTATCTTTCTACGTCCCGCGGTCCTGCAGTCATTGCGGCTGTCATCGCGTATCGGAGGTGAAGTGGGTGTTACAGGAAGATTAGTGTAGCAATATTACCAGGTGTCTTTCTTTGAAACTCTGATTCAGGACAGCTAGGGAAACTGACTATGCTGAGTTAGGTGAATTCTGCCTGGGGCGGGAGAACACTCTGAATGACCCAGATCGCGCAGTGACGCGTCCGACACACGCTCAGTGTCACACCCACGTCACACCCGGTCAGCGGGAGGTTCGGTTCGGGGGACTGGCTCGGTTTCACGGCACCATCTTCTGTTTTAAGATGAGGAACACGACGTCCAGGTGGAAGGGGAGGCCCAGCAGAAGGTGGAGGAAGAGGAAACGAAGGAGGAGAAGCAGGAGAGAAGGCAGGAGGAGGAAGAGGAGGAGGAGGAAGGCGGCCAGGACGTCATGAACGTGCTGGGGAACCTGGTGGTGGCCGTGTTCATCAAGTACTGGATCTACGTCTGTGGCGGGATGTTCTTCTTTGTCAGCTTCGAGGGCAAAATCGTGATGTACAAAATCATCTACATGGTGCTGTTCCTGTTCTGTGTGGCCCTGTATCAGGTGGGTGGGCGGTGGCCCTCTGTCTTTCGGTCCTCACATCTGTCCAGCAGTGTGCCTGAGCTTCCTCTGATGGGGTCCTGTTACCAGAATCTCGTGAACGTGTCATCTGTGATCTGTTTTCCTTCCTGGGGGCAGGTGTGGTGCTTAGGTTTATTAATTAATTAATGTTTTTAATGGAGGGACTGGGGGTTGAACCCAGGACGTGTGCGCACTAAGCAGGGCTCTGCCCCCGAGCGGCGCCCTCCCCCTTCGTGAACGTGTCACCTGACATAGTTGATGAGACCGAGCATCACCCACCAGGGGTCCTAAAATGAGACATGGCTGTGTTCCACCCGTTCACTCTTTTAAAATGCCAGGTTCTTAAAAAGTCAGAAAAAAAAAAGTTGTCTTTCAAAAATTAACAAAAGAAGCCTATATAGCTGGATTGTATTTTTGAATAATAATTTAAGAACAGTAGCTGAATGATCGAAAACACTGCATGGTGCTCAGTCCATTTGTATTTTGGACTTTGGAATCAGAAAGCCAATGTGTGTGTGTGTGTGTGTGTGTGTGTGTGTGTGTGTGTGCGCGCGCGCGCGCGCGCGCGAACATGTGTATAATGCGACAAGTGCTGCAGTTTGCATGAACTAGAATTTATAAAACGTTAAATTAAAACAAGTTAGCCGCTGCACAGCTTCCATTTTAACTGAGATGGAAGGGAACCTGGTGATAAAAACAGATGTGACAGTGAAGTGTCCTTGCAGACAACCAAAGGAACAGATAGACCAACTATGAGAAAGAGAGTGTTACACGTGGAGGTGAAAGTGTCACAGCTGAAGTCAATAAAGTTCCGAAATACTTTCTGAAATTCCGGGTAGATGGTCTCTCGTGAAAATCCACGGGCTTGTGGTCAAGAGGGATGTCTCCCGTGTCCTCGGTTTCACCTTTGTAGTCACACGGCATGAATTTCAAAAAGGAGGCTGTTCCCCCGGCAAGACCCATGTGGCAGCAGCTGCCACCGTACATCCTGAAAGCCCCGTAGGCCAGGGATCACCGGGGCCTTACATATACGGTTACTTCACCCTCCGAATGGCTGTAAAGTAAGTACCCTCAAGGAAGGCACCAGCTCGGGGTGGTCCAGCAGCTTTGCCCAAAGACACAGTTAACAGCTGCTGGGAGAAACCGGTTCCAGTCCGCGTCCACCCACATCCACGAGGAACAGAACCTCCAAAACCAGAAGTGAACTTGACCTTGTTTTCAAACATTTGTAGGTAGAATCCCCCATCTTCCTTGAGGAAGCTGGATATTTTTGTGAGTCTTCAATAAGCAATTTTTTTTCTAACTTGTTTTTCAACATCTGATCCACAGGTGCACTATGAGTGGTGGAGGCGAATCCTGAAATATTTTTGGATGTCCGTGGTTATCTACACGATGCTGGTGCTTATTTTTATATACACGTATCAGTTTGAAAACTTCCCAGGCCTGTGGCAAAACATGACTGGATTGAAAAAAGAAAAGTAAGCAGTTGTGGTGTTCCGCGGGGCGGAAAGTGACGAACAGGGGGAACCATGGATGCGTGTTGTTCACAACGTCTTTACGGGAGGTTTTAGTGGAGCACGGTGTTGCCTCGGTCTGCCAGCCTCTCCAGGGCAGGACTCACGTCCTGGCCGTCTGGGGTCTCCTACCTGACCCTGAGCTCTTGGCGCACAGCAGGTGCTCAGTAAGACTCGGCTGAAAAGGGAGCCTTCAGCCTCCTGTTAAGGAAGTGGCCTTGTCTAGTGTCAGTTCCATGTGTGTCCCACGAGTGTTAGGGGCCGGGTCCCTGCAGCCCTGCCTTGTGTGCTCCTCGCCGGCGCCCAGTTCTTCGTCCACAGGCTCGTAATGGAGAGCAGGGGCCTCTCCTCACGGGCGCGGCCGGCGCTGAGATTCTGAGGAGTAGTCGGTGCCGGAGAAAAGTGCCAGTGGACTGGTGGTGGTGAAGCTTGTCCTGTGCATGAAGCAGATGGGACTCCAGCTTTTTCTGATTTGCTTCTGTCAGTTTGTGAGATTTGTTTAGGAATCCAGCCAGAGCTGGGCACAGAGCCGAATGCCCAGAGGTGGTTGAGAGGAAAGCTTAAAAGGAAGGTCCCCCGGTCCCCCTTGTAAGGAGACTCACACGTCTTTCACATCAATTCAGCAAATGAGTCTTGAATGCCCCCCGTGGGCCGGACGCTGTTCTTCACCCAAGGATGCAATCAGAAGCAAGACAGACAGTCTAAGCCCCATGGAGTTTATATTCTAGGAGAGAAGACCAAAAGACCAACCGAAAAAAAAAACCCAATTCATGTACAAAGAAATCACTGTGATGCGTCTGTGAAGGAAACAGAAACAGGCCAGGTCGTGAACAGTGAGAGGACATGACCTGTGTAGATGGAGTGGTCAGGGCAGGCTTCCCAGAGGAGGTGGGGCATCATTTAAACTCCACCTGAATAAGGAGGAGCTTGTCTTTAGAAAAGTGCGGAATTTGGGAGCTGGAAATGAAAGAACATTCCAGAAAAAGGAAATAGCAAATGCAAAGGCCCTGGGGCAGGCCAGAGCCTGGCAAGGGAAGCGTAGAGAGGGAAGAGGTGGGAGGGGCCCGCCAGGCACCCAGAAGTGCATGGCTTATAGGCAGTGGCATTTTGAAAAGTCTTTGAAGAACTCTTGCCTGGCTGAGGGAACAGTGACGAGTGGGGAGGCAGGAGTCGACACAAGACTGGTCAGCAGGGGTCCTGTGAGAGAAGGCGGTGCTTCACCTAGAACAGGAGGGCCGAGACAGAAGCCAGAGGGGGCAGATTCAGAGATGAGGTTACAGGAAACATGAGTGGTGGAGCCACAAAGGCAAGCGAAGCACCCAGGGAGACGTCCTGACCTCGGCATCTCACACGAGGTAGACGGCTGTACCAGGGCAGCCAGCGTGGGGGCAGCGCAGCTGTCTTAGGAAACCAGGGAAATGGAGAAGACTCTCCTGAAGACACTCAGTGTGAGACCCTGAGGGACAGCCAGTTTCCAGCAGGCGTTTGTGTAGTGGAGTCCCCAGGAGAAACCCAAGCCGTAACTGCACGTTTGCGTCGTGGGTGTGAAGGTGGAGCAAGCATCCCCGGGTGGGGTGAGGTGACGAGGCGGGGGAATCAGCTAGAGGAGAGACTCCCCGCTGAGCCCGGGCCCGTCAGCACCCAGGGTCCGGCCGAGAAGGAGGAGCTGGAGGGGGAAGGGGCAAGCAGGGCAGCGTGGGGTGGTCCCAGAGGACGGCAGGCGGGAGTCCGCAAGGACGGAGAAGCAGCCACCGACGCTGCCCTGTCCAGGGTGGGTTAGCTGCGCTGGAGGGGACAAAGCCACCCTGGGCTGAGGGTGGCCGGGGGATGACAGCCACAGTGAGGGGGGTGTCTTCATCCACTAAGAAAGCTTCTTGCTCTTTGTCTTGCTTTGCTCGCAGGCTGGAGGACCTCGGCCTGAAGCAGTTCACGGTAGCGGAACTCTTCACCCGCATCTTCATCCCCACCTCCTTCCTGCTGGTCTGCATCTTGCACCTGCACTACTTCCACGACCGCTTCCTGGAGCTCACGGACCTGAAGTCCATCCCCAGCAAGGAAGACAGCGCCGTCTACAGGTGAGCCCGCGCAGGGGCACCTGCCTCTCACTGCCTGGCAGGTAACGAGTAATCTAACTTAGCGCCTCAGCCCTGAACTTGCCATGAGCATGCGTGGGGGGAAAATGGGGGAAGGTGTGGGACACTCGATGGCACGTTCTGAGGCAAGTGGCAGTGGTTTCTGGTGGTTAGCGCGGCGGCCTTGACTGCCGTGCGAGCTGGTTTCCGAGCAGCCGTGCAGACTCAGATTCTTCAGGGGTGGTGATGTGCGTTTTGCGTCCAGGCTGGTGATTGATTTGAGAACAGTTATAGAATCCGGCTCACTCAGAGGATGAGTTTTCTGCCGCCCTAGCAGCCAGTCACCAGCCCTGTGAGTGAGAGCTCACTGCAGAATCTCCTTGCATTTTGGAAGGGAAGGGCCTCGGCTGAAGGCAGACACTCCTCCGTCTGCTAGTAACTGGAATAACACGTAAGGGAAGAACGTGAAGGCAGCGTTTTCTTTCACCAGCCCCTGTGATTGCCTTCTCGTCACTAAATACACATGGTTTACAGGTGGCAGACGGGCCATCGCTCTCCCTGGCCTGCGTGTTGAAGCCACAGTGGGGATCACTCGGCCCTCCGTCGGCCCACCGTGGGGATGCACGAGTGCCCGTCTAGCGAGCGCTAATGCTGGCTTTCCTCTCTGCTTCACACGACAGCCAGCGAGTCGGCTCCTGGGAAAACCCTTGTGAAGCGAATAAGGGAGTGTCCTATGCCAGCGCCCTTAGCTTACGTGGACTCCCCAGACTCATTTCCCAAGGGGAAAAAAGTGTGCATCCAAAGAAGATGAAGTAGCATTTCATCACGCACCGTTCCCGAGAGAGCGAGCTGTCAGCGCTTTGCCCGGGTCGGGAGGGGACTGTGGGAGGACGAGCTTGCCCAGCAGAGCTCCCTGTGAGGACACAGGACGCTACTGGGGGAGGAGGGTTCTGGAGGAGGAGGACTGCTCACGTTAAGGCCCGGACCCCGTCTCCCACACTGCTCCAGCCCGTGTCCCCCGGGCTGGGCCGGAGACGGAGGGACGGCGGAGGGTGCCGCGGTCTGAGCACCCCTTGACGGTGACCTCCCCAGGAAGACATAAAGGACCAGGCAAGAGTGGGCGTCGGCCTTCCGGACGGCCTAGGACCGCGGGGCTTCATTTCCGGTTCTGTGGAAGTCAGTTTGCTAGTAGCTCAGGGAGCTGGAGGGACTCGCTCAAGGCCCGTGTTGTGGGATTTCCTGCAAGGTTCTAACATAAAAGTCCACAAAGCTTCAACCTGGAACGTCTGACCCATGCCCCGTCTTTTCAGGGAATCTTCCTCTTGTAGTTAGTCCTTTTCTTGCTAGTAGCTTCCACCTGATGGTGTTTTTATTCCCAAGAACCCCAGTAAATGACGGCATTCAAGTCAAAATGGTGCAGAGAGAGGGAGATTTTCAGAGTTGGGATCGACTGTCCTCTCTGCCTTCTCTGTTCTCGCCTCCTTCATAGCTGCTTCCCCAAAAGAGGCTCCCAAGTCGGGAGGAACCGATGCGCTTCATGCCTCACGCAGACCCCGGTGCCGCGGTCCCTGTGACTAGCCGGCCGCGCGCTCCCTGCTCTGTGCGTCCCGGGCGCTCCGTGGGGGGGGGGGGCGTGGCAGCTGCGTCCGAAGCAGTTTACTGCGTTCAGCCCTTCAGAGTGAAAGAAGCGCTGCGGCGACGCTTCAGGCTACACCGATTCACTTACAAACTGAGAGAGTATCTGTGGGATTCTTACGTGACACGGCCTTAGTAACAAGGCCCCAGCTGTCTGTGGCTTATTTAAATGCCCACCGCTGCACTTCGTCCAGACTGGGTTTCATGCATGACTCTGATGCGTGCAGAAGCAGAATGACTTTTTTTTAACCTCAGTTTTAGAAAAACCTAAGAAAACAAAGTGTTGAATCTGGATACTTAAGAGGATTTTATTTTATTTTATTTTATTTTTGCTGCTGGGGGAGGTGTGGGAATGAATCGTTGAGGTTGTGTTTCACGGGACCCACGTCCTCTGAACATTTAAGCCGTGAGGGTGTCTGAGGGCGTGTGAGCCGGGGAGGGGGGTGTCGACAGAGAGGCGTGGGACTGTCAAGCACTTTCCTGACTCTGTCTGATGTCGTGTCACTGCTGAACCTCGCTGCCGGGGACTCTCGGGGGCAGGGATGTGTTGATGACGCCGTGCTGCCGAGCTGGCAGGACGCAGCCAGCCCGTGCTCTCTGGCTAACCGTCTCCTCTTTCTCTCTCCCTCCTGTCCCCCGCTGCCACCCTGTGCTTCCGTGTCTACGCGCAGCCATGCCAAAGTCAGCGGGCGCGTGTATCTAATAATCAGTAGGTGGGTACCTCAGTGTTTCCTCTCTTGCTTGCTTGCTTTTTTAATGGTCTCTTGGTGTGTTAAACCCTTGACTGTTCTGTAAATGAAAAACCGTGTCGTCAGATAGTGGACATGCTCTCCAGGTATGCTCATGGGTGTATTTTGCAAGCCAAACTATTCAGTGTTGGGGCCAAATGGTGCCGCCCAGGGGTCTCGGAGGCTGCCGGGGGTCTTGAGCTGGCGCTTGGCCTCTGGTCGTGGTTCAGTCGTGTGTCCTACTAATGCATCCTTGGGTAGAACCAGCCCCAGGCTGGCCTGAGGGCTCCTCTCCCTCCTGAAGACATAATTGAGAGCTCAGCTCAAGACCCAGCTCCCCCGCAAAGACCGCCGACTGCCCGCTGGACCTCGGCTGCCCTCCCTCTGGTGCCCGGAGCACCGACTCCGACACCGGCCTCCCAGCCTCCTCCCCTGCTTGTCCCACCCCCCCTGCCAGAGACCCCCACCGCTCAGGCCTGGAGTCCCCGTAGGATCCACCCCGGGGTCCACATCTCACCGATCCTGGGGACCTAACCATCAGCCGACCCCCAGCAGCTGTGCTTAGTGGAGGCACTGGGGGTGGAGCCCAGGGCCTCATGGGTGCTAAGCGTGCTCTTCCCCATGAGCTGCGCCCGCCCCGTCAGGAGCTGCTTCCCGAATGAAGTGGTAACAGCCATGACAATCTATGGCTAAGAGGATGTTAACACATACAACTTATTCAAATGCACCTCTACTCGAAAGAGCCACGTACTGAAGGGCGGCGTGTGACGGACAGCACCGGGTCCCGCTGCAGAGAAGGCAAAGCCCGCGCTGCCGTGGACACCCGGCACCCGGCAGGAGAGACGCGTGCGGGGCGCCACACACACAGAGCAGGGCTGTCCCCGAGCGCCCTGGGAGCGCGCAGAAAGGGTCCCCTGGGGTCTGACTTGCCGAAAGCCTTCTTACTCTGTTAAGTAGGCGCTTAGAACGTCCACTCTGACAGTGCACGTCGTCAGTAGCAAAGGCGGTGATGCAGGCAACAGAAGCATGTGTTCTGCGACAAATCCAGGTCACAGAATCACATTTTGAGAGATTCCTTGGCTGTCTCTTCCGTTCTGTTTTCTCTCTAGTAAACTCCCGAGGCTGACGACCAGATAGCGAACCGTAGGAGGCAGACCTTCTAGCAGGAAGTGTCAAAACTTAGTGCGTCCGTGCGACCTCTAAACAAGAAGAGTGAGCACTGGCCAGTTCCCTTTGGGTCAGTTTTGCTGACAGTGTGGGAGAGAAAAGTCAGCCTCGGGCTTTCCGCTGTTGGGCAGAGAAATAAGGTAGAGACTCTGGCTAGAAAGGTCGAGCAGCTGTAGAAATCCCATCCCTCTAAGCCTGAGGAACCACACACTCTGTCTCCCTCCCTCTGCGTTTCTCATAACGTGTTTACCATGTGCTCTAAGAGCAGGTGGCTGGGGCACCAAAGAGGGCAGGAGTCGGTCTGATGGGTCCGGACGACAGGGGCTGCCACACTCAGCCCCCAGATCCGCGGGTCCTGCATCCATGGACTCAGCCAACTACAGGTAGAAAATATTGGAGAAACAAAAAAATTTCAGAAAGCTCCCAAGAGCCAAACTTGAATTTGCTGTGTGCAAGCTACTACAGGAGGGCGGGTGATGTCAGTGACCCAGAGAG